GGCCGCGGCGGCTTCAAGGTAAGGCCCCTCGGTCCGGGCGCCCGGTGTGAGAAGGCGGCCCGCGGCAGGCTGGGGTCCGGCTCACCGGCTCGGTTTCCCTCGACGCCGGTGGCGGCTCCGCACCCGAGCTGTGGTCGCTTTGTCTCTCCGGGGTGGAGCTGGGGCAGTGGGGGTCACCGCTGCTGCGCTTCCCTCTGCAGGACACCACCCCGGACGAGCTTCTCTCGGCCGTCATGACCGCGGTTCTCCAGGATGTGAAGCTGAGGCCGGAGCAGCTGGGGGACATCTGCGTAGGTGAGAGCACCATCCAGTCCCCGCGCTGGGCCCTCCCCGCCTTCCCATTCCTCCAAAGCCTCTTCACACAACTCCCCACCCAGAGTTTTCACTAGGGGAACGCCGACGGCCTAGACCTCTTTACAACTCTCTTTCCCACCCCTACACCTCTAGCCTTGAAATGTAACAACATAACAGGGCCAGCGTCTCATCCCGTGGGTACCACCCCTACATCAAGGATCACTGTTCCAGCTATCCGGAGCGAAAGCAGGGCTTGGAGAAGGACACTCAGGGGGAGGTGTGCATTGTCAGAAACTCATTTCTGTAACCGACAGGACCAGTTCTGTTAGACTTCAAGCTTTGCATTGCACTCTTCTTTCCTTCAAGCCTTTCTGTAAGGGCCGGCAACCTACCAAATCTGTACTTATTTGGAAAAGCAGGGTGCATGGGCAAGTGAGTTTGGGACCCTCAGGGACTGGGGCTGATGTATGACTAGGGCAGGCTGTTGTACGGCTCTCTCTCTGCTCCAAAACCCCAAAATTCCAGAGCCTCAAGTGAGCCTGCCGAGGACTCCTGTTCCTGAAGAAAGATCTGGAATGTCTGCTCTCTGGTATTCACAGTTGTACCTTAGTGCCCAGAACACCACCTGGCACTGAATAAAATTTTGTTGTCTGCAGGAAATGTGCTTCAGCCTGGGGCCGGGGCAGTCATGGCCCGAATCGCCCAATTTCTGAGGTAAACTTTTCTAGTTCTAGCTCTGGGTTGGCCATTTTGACTTTTTATTTTTTTGGCAGATGGCCAGTACAGGGATGGAACCCTGGACTTTGGTGTTATCAGCAGCACACTCTAACCAACTGAGCTAACTGGAATTTTGACTCTTGAATGGGCCCAAACCCCAGGGAACTCAGCCTGTGGGTGGGGGAGGATCAGGTTGGACACCAGACCTTGAGGCAGCCAGAGTCCTTGGCACCCCACTGTTGGACCCAACCTTTGAAGGGAAGGTGTTTTACCTGGTGCTGAGCCAGAACACACAAGGCCTTTGGGACTGGATCAAAAGTTCTCTGTGGCCTGATTTTTAGCCAAAGCAAGTTTGTTGCTTGCCTATTGTAAGTTGGACTCTGTACTCATTTGTCAGGTAAATAACTAGGTAGGCATGCTGAAGAGTGACTTTGAATCTTTTTGCTAGTTGAGCAAGCTGGGAAGTTCAGGCACATTCCATCAGCAGAGACTCGGGGATAGGACAGAACCTTGGGTAGGGGGTAGGTAGCCTAGGTGGAGTCCTGGTAAACTTGCCCTTCAGCATCTGGTGTTCCAAGCAAGGGAAGGAGTGCTTAAATTGTTTTCATGTGTTGATTTAAAAACCACTTAGCTGTATACTTCCAGCGGCAGGGTGAAGAAATAATAGGGACATTAGCCAATGAAGGAACAGGAAAACAAACAAAACCCCTTGGAATTGGGAGAGTTCAGACTGCTTAGCCTGGAGTTCAAGGCCCCCACAAACTGGCTCCAGACTCATCTTGCAGCCTCCTCTCCCTGCTACTTCCTTGCCTTGACTTTTCCTCTTTCAGCGAGCCTGTCTGCCTGCTATCTTCCCTGCTCTGGTCATTCTTTCTCCTTGGAGTGCTATCCCTACCTCTTCTCTCCGCCCCAGCTAAACACTGCCCAAACATAGTCTCACCATTTTGGCATGACTTCTCCGAGTTCTCAGGCTTAAAATGAGAGCCCCTCCCTCTCCAGTAGCTAGCCATGTGCTTCCTTGTGATGTGGCTTTGCCATCTTGTCCTGTTATTTCATTCTCTGCTAGTTGATTCATTTTCTGTGTTTTTGTTAGGCATTCTCTAGGGCACAGTATTATAAGCATCTCAGCATCCCGCAGATGGTGCCTTGTGCTAAGGAGGTATTTAGTGAATATTTGGTAGATTGGGTAAAGGAATGGTAAGTAGTTAATAAGGAGATGGGGGACCTAGGAAGGGCTAAACAGGCTGCACAGACCTAGGAGACTATCCACCTGGAGAGGGTCTCTGCAGAGCCTGGCCTGGGCACTAGCTGAGGGTCTCCCAACCCTGATTGCACACCAGAATCACCAGGATTCTTCCAATCCTTGAGGTTCTGAGTCCACGGGTCTGGGGAGGGCCTGGAAATTTCTCCAGGGTTTTGTACTGTTGGCCAAGGCAGGTTACATCAGAAGGGGCAGCCCTACTAGCTTCCAAAGCTGAGACCAGTGTTAGAGCATAAGGGGACCCACTAGAGCAAGGGATGTTAGAACACATGGTGTGCCCATCAGAGTTCTTTATCCAAGTGGGAACAGACTTTCAAGAGAGAATGGGAACATAAAGGGTTAGCCATATGGTTACTAGTAAGGCTGAGGGGTGGGAGTGGTTTCTAGCCTCATACTTCAGACATTTCTTTTGCTCTGGTGCTCTGTCCCAGCAACAGGCCCTCTTCTCTGTTCTTTGGGGAAACAGAGATGAATAGTTTTCATTTTTGAATCTTCAGAGGGAGAGAAAGAAAGATCCATGTGGCCCAAATAGGCTTCCCCTGCTTTTGGGCTGTGAAGAGAATCATAAAATGGAAGTGCATATATTTTTCGGGGCCCTGGGGAGCAAGCGCCTGTAGAGAGGTCTGCCCAGTAGCTGCCCACCCCAATTCCATTGATCTGGCCTGGCATGGGGGCAGGGCTGCTGGGTTTGTTCGCCTGGTTTTTGTACCCCTTCATGGTGGCAGTCAGAAGCACTGGCCTGCTTTCCATGAGAGCCTGGCAGGGAGAGGGGGCTGACTCTATGGTCTCACCTTCTGTTTCAGTGACATCCCGGAGACTGTGCCTTTGTCCACTGTCAATAGACAGTGTTCATCAGGGCTGCAGGCAGTGGCCAATATAGCTGGTAAGTTATGATTGTGTGGGAGCCCACTGCCCTGGCCTTGGTCCTGGCCACATGGGTCCACTGTCAATAGACAGTGTTCATCAGGGCTGCAGGCAGTGGCCAACATAGCTGGTAAGTTATGATTGTGTGGGAGCCCACTGCCCTGGCCTTGGTCCTGGCCACATGGGTTGAGTCAGCAAAGTCACTGTCTGCTGGGCAAGCAATAAGAATTTCTGAGAGGACTTTAACCACAGAAAGAGTGAAGGAGCACGTCTTGCCACTGCTCCAAGCCTTCTCTAGACACTCCTGGGTCTTCCGTCTCTGAGGCTGGGGCTTAGTCCCACCTAGTGACCAGGAGGGGAAGAGGCTTCATTGCTCCTGGAACAGATGGACTCTGGCAAAGGTTGTTTATGAAATGCTTTTGTTGCAGGTGGCATCAGAAATGGGTCTTATGACATTGGCATGGCCTGTGGGTAAGAATTCCTTTCTGCCGGAGCTTATTAACCGACTTGTGATAGTAAAACTAATTTTCATCTCCTGAGTTCTCAGAGGCCATGATTTTAGGATTCTCCCCTAGCCCCTTTAGGCAGCTGGCTGGGAGTGATTTCTTGCAAATTCAGCTTAGAGCGGCCCCCAGCTCTGGCTGTTAGGAATTGCTCACACCTCTCAGCACTAGTGGGGAAGGGCATTTGGCCTCTGAAATCTTTCTTTCTCAGAAATCTGTCAGGCTGGAAAATGTGGGCAAGCATTTTGAGAAGATATAGCACTTAAGTTTCCTCCCGTGGCCCTTGTTGATTTATGATGCTGCTGAGAGAGAAGTTGCAGTTTTGGTTCCCTAAAGCCAGGGACAGCTGCCCACTATATTTTACTAGACTGTCACCTTGTCCTCCACCCTGGTACCAAAGTGGAAACTTCTGGCTGCCTACTGGGTTCTGAGGGACATGGTTAGTGGTGGTTTGGTCACTGTCACCTCCTCCTACACTGCAGTTCCACCTTTGGCCTCAGTGAATGGAGCTGCAAAAGTTGTATCTGGTAGTGCCTCCAGGGAAGGGCAGGGCACGAGAGCCCAGGCTTGTGTGGGCATCTGGTGCTGGGAGGCAGGATGAGTGAGGGCTTTGGCAGGCTCGGGGAGGCAAGCAGCCCCAGAGTTCTGACATGCTCCCACTGCCTTTCAGATCCTCTTTATAGTTTTTCTTGATAGGAAGCATTGCTGACCCCAGTCCCAGGGCTGTGCTGACTAGCACTGGGTTGTACTGATCTATGTCTGCAGTTGTAAATAAGGCCAGAGACCACAGTACAAGGACTTTGGCTGGGCAAGGTGGTGTGGGTAACTTGAGGAAAAGGGCTGGAAGCTTCATGGGTTTCCCACGCAGGTTAAGGATCATGGCATTAGGATATTAAGGATCTGGGCCAGGACTGACACCCACATCACAGGCTGTTTCCCATACTTTGATTGTGAAGTGTAGCGCAGGGCATACTAGTTGGGGGTGGCCTTTGGGGCCAGACTACCTAAATTTGGATCCAGGCTGGGTGACCATTGATAAGTTACTTAGCTTCAAAGTAAAGTTTCCCATACTTTGATTGTGAAGTGTAGCGCAGGGCATACTAGTTGGGGGTGGCCTCTGGGGCCAGACTACCTAAATTTGGATCCAGGCTGGGTGACCATTGATAAGTTACTTAGCTTCTCTGGACCTCAGTTTCCTCATCTATAAAATGGGGATACCTACCTCAGCTCTGTTCAAGTTGGTGAGAAGAATAAATAGTAACAACAGCTAACACTGTGGGGCATGTGTCATGTGACTGACACTGTTTGAAGCACTCTAATACCTAAAAAGAGTTTAAAATAGTGCTGGGTGCATGAAAAGCACTCAGTCAACGTATTTGTTATGATCTTTTGAAGCTTTATGGTCCCCCACTTCCTTGAAGCCCTTTTTGACCACACTAAACTGACAATCTCTCCTTCCTCTCAGCTCATAGCACCTCCTTGCCTATGCAGATCAGATTGCTTTTTGGGTTTTCTGATTATTTTCAAAATATTTCTCTCTTCTCTCTGTGGGCCCTGAGGGCAGAGCCTGGGCTTGTTGAATGTGTGTTTCCCCCACTGTGACTGACACTAGGTAGAAAGTGTTCCTCAGGAACTGCCAATCAGCTGACCTAGCAGTTACATAGGGAAGCATGGCCCTGCCCCTGGGAGTGTGGATTGTGGAAAGCTCTGCCCTAGGGTTGGGGTGGAGGTAGAGACAGAGCTCAGCAGCACTGTACCCCCAGCTCTGCCTTGCTGGCCAAGCCCTGCCTGTGGCTCCCAGACAACCCACTGACTTCCCGAGGGCTCCTTGGCTATTTCCCAGCCCTTGCCAAATGTACAGCTACTCCTAGAGGAGTCCTGCCAGGGCTGAGCTCACTTCTCTTCCTCCTTCTTTTTAGGGTGGAGTCCATGTCCCTGGCTCAGAGAGGGAACCCTGGAAATATTACTTCACGCTTGGTGGAGAAGGAGAAGGCCAGAGATTGCCTGATTCCTATGGGGTGAGTGCTCACCCATGGTTGCATGTGCCTATGTGCTCTCAGCTCCCTGCCTGGCCTGGAGCAGGGACCAAGGAACTTTATCATCTCTGTGGCTGGCAGTGCCAAGCCTTGGCCTCCTTCCTTTGGGTGTGGTCTACTCAGTAGGGACCCTGCGGAAAGGACTTGATGCTGCCCTTTCATGAGGTCCTCAGGTCTTCTCTGTGCCCCTGAGTTTCCAAACATAGCCCACCCTGTCACTCCCCCGCTGAGGTGCTCGGTCACAGGAAGGATGATGGCAGCTATAACCCAGAGCCTTGGGGCCTAGAAAGTTAGTGAGGAGGTGGGGAGCTTTTGCTTACTGAACATGCTGGTGAGGGAACTTGGTCCCTGTCAGATGCAACATGAAAAGTATGCTGCATCTGTATAGCTCCTTAGCTCTGCAGCCAGTATCACTGAGCTTCTGGGCCATTTCCAGGGACCGTGGGCAGGGAGTCCTGGCTCCAGTGGATGTGTGAAGAGATTGAGGTTTGGAGAGCGGCAGTGCCTTGGCTTCTTCCATGTACTGTATCTCCAAGGAAGCCTGCAAAGCCAGAAGCCCAGGCTGGAGAGCCTAGCTGTGGTCTGGGTTCCCAGGATAAGGAAGAGCCCCAGCCAAGGTGACCAGAAAGCCTAGGTGTGTGTGTCCTTTCCAGAGGGAACTTAGGAGTCCTCATCTTCCCACATTAAAACAGTTTTTACTGAGGTGTAGGAGAAGCTGGCAGAGAGTAGCCAGTCAGTGCCCCTGCTCAAACTCTCCTTCACCCCTCTTCTCCTCTGTGCTCACACAGGGAATGAACTCTCTTCTGCAGCCAACCCCCATACAGGCTGCCCTCTCTTGGAGAGGGTCTCATTGACGTGTGAGCTTCCCAGGAGCTGGCCAGCATTGCTGACTCCCTATCTGTGCCTGTACACCCACCTTGGGTCATCACTACATCTCTGTGGCACTGGCCCTCCCGTCCTTCCCTGCCTGCGGCCCTGGGGGTTCAGAGATCCAAGCACAGTCTGGTTCAGTCCCCCAGGCTGCTAGACCAATGCCTACACTGCTGTTTGTGTTCTAGGATAACCTCGGAGAATGTAGCTGAGCGGTTTGGTATTTCACGGGAGAAGCAGGATACCTTTGCACTGGCTTCCCAGCAGAAGTGAGTGCTGCTGAGGGTGGGATGCTTAATGGGCTGGAGAAGGATTTGAGGCTATTCTCAGTGGTCTGAGGTGGAGCTGTCCTGATGATACAGCTGGCCGCGAGTGGTTTCCAAGCCTAGGGCCTCCCAGATGGGAAGAGGTCAGGGCCCCTGTGGGTTGGTAGCACAGGACCTGTTACTCTCTGTTCACACTGAGTGTCTCCTCCCTAGCTGGGCCTCAGTTTCCCTATCTATTCATTGGAGGCATAATGAGGGCCAGGACTCTCTTTAACTGGCTGTTGTTTGGTGATTGGCAATGGTAGCCATAGGCTTCTCTGGGTAGCCTGGAGTGTGGGGCCAGCAATGCTAGGGATTCCAGCATCCCAGTTTCTGGGCCATGCCTGGCTCTGAGGTAACATCCTTAGGTGGGAGTTGGGGATGACATCAGAAAAACTTCAGGGCCTCAAGACTCCTGGCAGGGGCAGGCTAATGTTAGCAAACCTCTGCTGTCCAGAAACAACAGCAAAAGCAAAAAGGCCAGGTGGGCTTCTCTGAGGTAGTGATTCTTAGCCGTTGAGGTCAGGTAATCATTTGAAAATTCACTGGAAGCTTTGGATTTCTTCCCATTGCAATGTTCCTGGGCACTTTTATTTTGCACATGGTTGCAATGCCTTGTGGTTTCAAACTGTTTAAATATAAAAATACATCGAGTAGTTTAGTATACGTCATTTTAAATGTGTGGAAACTGGGAAATGGATGAAGTTGACCTTCTGGGTTCAAACAGAAAAGCTGGCAGAAGTTAGCACAAATACTCCTGGGACTCTACCCTAAGTTCAGCAGAGAGAACTGGGCAGCCTTAGTCCCTCTTGGACGAAGAGCTCTTAAGTACGGGGTGGAGGCAGGGTACAGGGGGCAGCGGGGACTTCCAAACTTCCTCCTCCCCTTCGAGGTTGGTATTGGCCATGATCTGGAGATCTGGGGCTGATGGCTAAGAAGGTCCTGTAAGGCTTCAGTCGTGCCTCTCCCAGGAGCAGGTAGAGGTAGTGAGGAACCCCCACTAGTTCCTTAGAGTTCCCCCAAGCCAAGCGAGTCCCTGAATTTAGCAACCTAAGCTGGCCTATCTGCCCAAATGGGCAGGGGGTGGGGGCAGGGAGGAAGGGAACCTCAAGGGAGCCTGAGGCTGGCTGTCCATGGTGCTGGCAGGGCAGCAAGAGCCCAGAGCAAGGGCTGTTTCCAAGCTGAGATTGTGCCTGTGACCACCATGGTCAGCGATGACAAGGGCACCGAGAGGAGCATCACTGTGGCCCAGGATGAGGGTATCCGCCCCAACACCACCATGGAGGGTCTGGCCAAACTGAAGCCTGCCTTCAAGGAGGACGGCTCTACCACGGCTGGTGAGACTGGGCTGGGAGAAGGGTGAGGAAGGAGCCCACAGCCATGCTGGATGTTCTACTCTGGGGGCCTGGAGCAGACCAGGCTCCTCTGCAAGGTGGATGTGGGAGGGCTGGATCTCCTCAGCCCTGCCCCGACGCCTCCTTACTTCAGTAATTTGCTCCTAGGAAACTCTAGCCAGGTGAGTGACGGTGCAGCTGCCATCCTGCTGGCCCGGAGGTCCAAGGCAGAAGAGTTGGGCCTTCCCATTCTTGGGGTCCTGAGATCCTATGCAGTGGTTGGGGTCCCGCCTGACATCATGGGCATTGGTCCTGCCTATGCCATCCCTGTAGCTTTGCAAAAAGCAGGTAAGGCAGCTCCCTAGATCTGGGACCCACTTGGATCCCACACTTGCCTTGCATGCTGTTGCCAGGGGAATAGGGGAAGCAGGTGCTGAGGGTGGCCTTGTGGGTGCTAGAGAGTGAAGGTAAGGCAGGCTAGCACCCCAAACCCCAAGCCCTTCCTGACCTCACAGCTGGGACCCACTCACCCTTCTGAAGAGACAGACACACTAGGCAGCCTGTAGGCCCATGGATGGGGCAGGGCCCTGGGGAGACTGAGAGTCCAGCTGAGGGGCCGCTGTGCCAACTCAGGACTTTACCTTATCTGCAGGGCTGACAGTGAATGACATGGACATCTTTGAGATCAATGAGGCCTTTGCAAGCCAGGTGAGCCTTGGTTTCTCAACACTGCCTGGGCCCTAGGCAGCCTAGTTGGAGCAAGCAGGCAAGTGGTACAGTGGAGGGTTAGGAGGGCTATAGCGGTGCTCTGCCCCTTCCAGGCTGTCTACTGTGTGGAGAAGCTAGGACTCCCTGCTGAGAAGGTGAACCCTCTGGGGGGGGCAGTGGCTTTGGGCCACCCACTGGGCTGCACTGGGGCACGACAGGTCATCACCCTGCTCAACGAGCTGAAGCGTCGCAGGAAGAGGTAAGGTTGGCTCCTCGTGGGGGTGTCATGAGGGCTGGGGGAAGTGAACACATACACATATGTACTCTGAACTGAGGACGTTGGAGCATAATCCTTGTTTCCCCTTGTGAGGAACCCTGGCCTGCAGCAGGCATCTGCCACCCTGGTGTGTGCCTAAGAGTGCAGTCAGGGCATTGCTTGCCCACAGATCTGGTCCGATGGTTTTGCATCCTCTGTGTCCATGAGGGCCTTGGTCCATCCAGCTCAGCCTGGTCTGGGGGTCACTTGGTGTTTGGGATTCTGCCCAGTGTGCTTTTGCTTAGCCAAAGCAACTTTGTTTCCACAGGGCATATGGAGTAGTGTCCATGTGCATCGGGACTGGAATGGGAGCTGCTGCTGTCTTTGAATACCCTGGGAACTGAGCGAGGCCCCAGGCTAAAGGCACTACACAGAGAGTCCTGCTGTAGCAGCAAGAGAGCACTACAGAAGTGAAACCACATGGGAAAATTCAGCACTGGTGATGGTGGCAGTGGACAAATCAAGGCACTTCAACTACTTTAGAAAATGTGAACACTGATGACACAATATAGGAGTGGGTAGGGTTGGGGTTGGCCTGCCCCCATCAGACCCCCTCTAGGTGGGCCAAAGTTAGCCTGTGTCCCCCAGGCCACAGGAGAAAAGGGAGCCTCATGGATGAGGAGTGCAATGGAGGTAGTAAATATGTGTTATGTTGATGACTGTGGTTTTTTTCCAGGGGCCCATTTTTGCCATGCTGGTCTTCTCTCTCTGCTCAATCTGAGTAGTGATTCTTAACTGCTATGGTCTCCACACTGTTGTGGCCTATCCTTTATATAAGCTCTAAGGGCATATCATGCAAGGTGCAGGCTGAGACCATTGCCTGGAAGGAGCTGCTCAGAGATTCCCCCAGTCTGTGTCCCTGCACAGCACACCTGTTCCTCAGCCCCAGATCATGTTTATTTCTACAGCACGGGGATAAGGCTGGGTCTGAGGGATGGGGCAGAGCCTCAAAGCTGGTAAGGCGACATGTAACTCTCATCGTACAATCCCTGGCCCCGGAGCTGCAGATTGCAGGCCTTCTCACCAAGCATGCCTTCTACCACCAGAGTGGACTCATACAGCTCACTGCTCCTGTGGGGGCAGGCAGGGATAAGGTTAGGAGGGGGCCCCAGGCAGGGGCTCTAGGCCCTGTGGGCAGTGCTGGGGAGGCCCAGAGGGGTGGTACCTGGCAGTGAAGAAAATCTGCAGGATGGTGGAGGTTGGGGGTGCATTTGTGGATCTCGCCTCCAACATCCCACTGCTTGGAGAGACCCTGAAGGCCACAGCGTCCTTGGTTGGCTCCTTTTGGCCTGTGCCAAGGGGAATGGAGGACACACATGAGCGCCAGCAGCTCCATATGCCGTCCTGGGACGCTTTCACTTGCCCCCAGGCCTGCCCTGCATCTCAGGTGTGCATGTCTGGTCTTGCCTAGCACCACACGGCAGGGATAACCCTGGGATAATTTGGGATTGGGGGACTAGACTCAGCAGGAATTCCAGGTGGTGCCAGCTCTGGGGAGCCAGCCTGGAGGAAGAGGGTACACAGACCCTTCCTGGGGGTCCTGGCCCAGTTCTGCAGATAGGAGGGCATGGCATACCCATCAGCACAGCCCAGTAGCTCCGGCAGCCACTCAGGTTCATCAGGTAGACCTCCCGGACCTGCTGCTGGTTCACTAAGCAGATCCCAAAGTCCACCCAGCTCGTGGAGAGCTGTAGCTCGGGCACAGCCACGATGGCCCGCAGGGGCACCACCTGGGGGGACAGAGCTTTTAACTTGGTGGGAGACAAAGCAATCTTGCCCACCTCAGCTGAGTTGGGGTCTCTGGGATGCAGGGAACCCTGCTGACCCCAAGTACTGACGCTTCTGAGGAGAGCAGGGGCAGCACCACAGCAGGTGTGGGGGGCTGCCGGTGAGATTCTGTGCAGTGGGAGGACCAGGATGGCACCATCTGCTCCCTCCCATCCCTGCCACTTCACTCCCATCAAGCTCTGTGGTCTCTGCTCCTGGTTCAGTTGGGCTACCCTCCTCTACCTTCCTCCCACTTCTTCCCTCTTCCCATGGGGGTCCCAAGGCTCAGCTCTCAGCTCTGCTCAGTCCCATCTGGCCCTGTCCTTCAACCTCAGGCCCCACCTGTGCCCCACCCTGCTCTAGCTCCTGAATTCCCAGCATCACCCTGACACTGCCATACACAACCTAGGCCCCAGCAGCTGCCCAGGAGCCAGGCTGGAGAGGCCAGCTCCACTGCTCAGCCTCTTGCTTCTGGCCTCTCTGGGGACCTCCCTTGGTCCACTCCTTCACATTCCTCACCTGCAGCCCCAGCTGGGCTCCCTGCCTCCCTTGGGCCCCTCCAGCTCACCCTGGTGCTGCAAGTCCCACATGAGACCGAGAGTTGTCCATCGCAGCTGCCTCAGGAGCTCACTGTCCCCACCCATCAAGCCATTTCCTTGGCCTGTCAATGAGACTCCCTTCTCCCTCAATTAAACAGTGCACAGGTTTCACGTGCCACCTCCTCCAGGGAGCCTTCCCTGACTTCCCACCCTCCAGCCCCTCACCTGGCTCTGAGCTGAGACAGGTGAGGATGGAAGACCCTCATGTCTCCGTGTCTAGAGCCTCTTCCAGGGGACACTGCGCCCTCAGGGCAGGGTCCGGGGCTTCTTTCTGGGAGCCCTGCAGGTGCCATCCTCTGACCCCACCGGCACAGAGCCCAGCCCAGTCCGCCCTCCTCGCCCGTGGGCAGGCCGGGGGCTCGCCTGCGTGGTCTGGTTGCTGTACTGCAGGAGCAGCGTCTGAGTTAGCACCAGCTCCTTCTCTCCACTCGCGCTCTGCTGAATGTGCACCCCGGGGAGCATCTGGTCGGCCGGGAGCTCCTGATAGGAGAGCAGCTCCAGGGACAGCAAGAAGGACACGTTCACCTGAGCAGAGTGGACGCAGCGGCACCTCAGGCTGCTGCGGGTGGGCGGCCGCTTCCCCACCTGCCGCTGCGTGCCCCCTCCCACCCCCAGGAGGCTGGCTCCGCGCGACCCACAGCGCCCCCGCCTGGCGCGGGCATTCTGCACCCCCTCTGTGCCTGGCACCCCATCAGGGCCGGGCACAGCCAGCTGCCCTCGGGAGTCAGAGGCTAGAGGGCCACGGGCGATAAGCGAACCGCCCCGTCCACCTCGCGTGCCCCAGGCTGCGGGCGGGCTCAGAGGCCGAGGAAGGACTTGATCCGAGGACACTGAGCAGCCTCGGACAGATTTTAAGCAGGGGGACGTCCGAGTCGGCTCTGCCTTCCACAGGGTCACTCCGGCTGCTGTGGGGAAGTGGGCTGCAGGAGCTCGAGTGGGTGGGGACACCAGTCGGGAGGCCGAGGCCATAACTTAGGCCGGACAGGATGGAGCTTGGACACCTGGGTCCCGAACACATGTTTGTGGACTTCACTCATCAGAAGCAACTGAGACATTTGTTAAAAATACATGGGCCGGCCCAGTGGCGCACTGGATAAGTGCGCCGCTTGGGAAGCGCGGCGGCGCTCCCGCCCGAGGGTTCGGATCCCACATACAGACTGGTTCCCGCTCACTGGTTGAGCGAGGCGCGGGAGCAACACCGAGGGTTACGATCCCGTTGCCGGACACGGAAAAAGACAAAAGACAAAAAAAAAAAAAATACTCCTGGGCCTTAGCTCAGACCTTCTTATCTCTGGAGGTGGGGCCTGGGAGCTTGTATCTTTAACATGCTTTCTAAAGGCCACTGATGTATTGCCAGGCTTGGAAATCAAGGATGGTGTGCAGGCGTGTTGTCTGCACACACGTGTGAATGCATGCCACCGAGGTGAGGGCCACGGACCCCTCCACTGACCAGCATGTTCTCCTGTGGCTGGAGCACCAGCTGCTTGCTCACTGAGGCTGTCTCCTCCTCACGCTCCTGCACCCAGCCAGAACCAGGAGCCCTGTGGTCCTGGCTAGCCCCATCTTGAGAAACAGAGAAGGGCCTGGAGACCAGGAGCCGGAAGTAGTGTGGGATTTCCGTGGTGTTGTTCAGCTTCAGGTGGTGGGTGATCACCAGCTCGCTCAGTACCTGCATAGCCACAGAGGCGGGGAGGCTGGATGAGTCCTTCCGTGCTCCTCAAGCCCATGGTCCCAAGGGAAAGGTTGGGCTGGGGGAGGGGACTCAGACTGTAAAGCCTGTGCCCCGGAAGGTCCATAGGGACATGTGAGGTCCAGGTAAACTGGCAGGTCCAGAGAGTGGCAGCACTCACCCCTGAGGAGGGCTGCTCGGGGATGAGGCTGCTGGCCTGGCACCGGAACTCCACGCCGCCACCATAGTCCAACGCCACACTCAGCCTGCCGAGTAACAGGTGCTGCTGGGCAGGCCAGGCACCTGGAGCCTCCAGGCTGCCCCCTACTCTACTTCTCTGGCCTCTGGCCGGCCTTTCCCCAGGCTCATCTGCTGGCTGCTCTTTCCTCCCGTTTCCATCCTTTTGCTCTGAGAACCCTGTCCAGCTCACCGTGCCCAGTGAGGGTGCTTGCTACAAGGGATGAAGGGAGAGGGGGCGGCTCAGCCGACTCACTGTGCGGGCCTCACGTAGCCATGCAGGTCCAGTCTCAGGGGTCCCACGGCAAAGTCCTGCAGGCGACGCCTCTTCCCTGGAATCTCCCTTTCCACCTACCGAGCCCAAGCCTGGTCACTGGTAGTCCCTGGGCTGAGCAGGCAGCATGCTACCCAGGAGAGAGGCAGTGGCTGCAGCCCCACCCCAGGCAAGGAGGGCTTACCTTGTTGTCCAAGCTCATGAAACCCAGGGCATAGCCAGTACACTCCACCTTGTGCAGGATATCGGGGCTGAGCACCGTGGGTGTGAAGGAGATGTAGATGGTGCTACTGCCCCCAGCAGGGACCACCTGGTACGAGCACAGCAGCCTCAGCACTGCCCCATGCCCACTGGCTGGCAAGCTCCCAGCCCCCACCCCAACTCACCACCTGCTTGGGGCTGACAGAGTACAGGCCGTCGGAGGGCACCCCCTCGTGCCCCTGCAGGATGACTGAGATGATCTTCTCTGGGGCCCTGTTGCTGGCACTGGAGCTGCCCTCAACCTATCACCAAGGAGTCACACAGGCTCAGCTGGCCCACTGGCCACACCTCAGCAGCCCTGAGTGGCCAGCCTGCCCTGCTCCTCCACTCCTGCTCACTGATGGGGCATCTCCATGGCTGGATTCTGATGCATTCGAGGGGCCTGGGGACCAGAGGAAGAAGCTGCTCTCAGAGGTCTCAGGGCACATGAGTTCGTTCCCAGCTTGGTCCCGCAGCGGGAAGGGTGGCCCATAGGACACCAGCAGCTCTAGCAAACGGTCTTCCCTGTCTTCCGGAACATAGGTCTCCCAGTCCAGGCGGATGTCTGGGGCAGACATGGGGGAGAGGGCAAGGAGTAAGGGAGGAGCAGGCTCCCCGCACCCCTCAGACAGAGGCTACCATTCTCCCACACTCAGGGTGGAGGTGGGCCTTGCTGCCTCTCTAATACCACTTCCAGGCAATTCTCATTTTAAAACATAGTCTTTACAGGCTTATGCCACCTGGCTCTGTCACTTGAAGCCCTCATGATCACTAGGCCAGCTCTTCATGTTCAGATGCACAAATCCAAGCAGTCCACTCTCCCCAGCTTCCTCTCCTTCTGGCTGCTTGCCCACAGGCTGGGCCTCCAACCCTGCACTCATCATCCCCCATGTGCTTCCACTTCCTTCCCCAGCCAAGCGAGCCTTGGGGGGCCGCCACTTAACTTCACCCTGTCTTACCAGCACTGTCATATCCCTCGTCTACCCCCATCCTTCCACCCACCTGGCAAAGTCCCATCCTGGAAGAACTGCACTGCGGTCCCTCTGTGCACCACTGGAGGAAGGCCACCAGTGGAACAGATTGCTTCCCCCATAAGTCTGTCACCAAACACCAAATTAAACTGGGTACCCATATTGCTGTCCCTGCCAGGCTGCACCACAATAATGTCAGGCTGTCCTCGCTCTCCTCTGACACTGCCGTCTGCCTCCCCATGCCCAGCTGATGGCCCCACCTCATCTCCCAGGAAGCACCCAAATCAGGAAGGCCCTGAAGTCCTGTCCCACACCTATGCATCTGTCTGCATCTATCCCAACTTCCCCTCCCCTCCTGCCTTCAGTCCTGCTCCCGCCCCCATCAGGGGCCACCCAGGACCAGAATCCCCTCTCTAGTATCAGCAACTTGCATCTCTCCTAGGTGCTCGCCAGTAGCACTGAGGCAAGCCCAGGCCTTCCTGTCACGAGCAAGCTGCCCTCTGCCAGACGAGCTCCTCTAGTTGCCACCTTCACGCTCCCCTTCATGGCAAGCTCCTAGGACAAAATGTCTATAATCCTCTTCTCCTCCTCATCTCCTACCCACTCCTCAGTTAACATATGATTTATTGAATACTTGTAATGCCAGGCACTGGGCGCGGCCTCAGAAACACCTGGTGAAGACAACACCCAAGGTTCCTGATCTAGTGTTTCTTATATTTATTACCGGCACCTGCCTCTTACGCCCACTGAATCACTCTCACCAAGGTCACCAATGACCAGCAAATCCTGAAGTTCAGTGGACAATCTCACTTTCAAGTAAAGATACAGAAATGAGCCCCAAGGAAGGGAAGGTAACCATTAAAGGAAAGGAAAGTCAAAGAGAAATTCAAAATTAAACAAAGGGAAAATGATACAGTTGCAAAAAGATTAAAGTAGAAAACGAATAACAAAGTAAAACAAATCATAGAACAAAATGGAAGAAATATATGGATTAAAAGATAATGTCAGATTGAGTTTTTTTTAAAACTCAGCTCTCCGTTGTTTACCAAAAAACACACATCAAAGTCATAAAGGGTGAAAACAGTGGGGTGGGCGAGGAGGCGCCAGATTGATGACAATAAGAAGACACCAGGGTAGCAATGTTAATATAAGGCAAGGTGGACGTCAAAAGCACTAAAGGGGCCAATGAGGGACAGTATAGGGTGACAGAAGAGTTAACTTGTGAAGAGGATCCAATATTCAAATACACCTAACAACAGAGCAGCTAAAACCATAAAGTGAAACTACTGGAAATGCAAGGAGAACTTGATAAAAATATGATTAGAGTGGTAGACTTCCACACACTCTTTCAAAATTGCACAGATCCAGGAGCCAACAAGAAGCAAGGTGGTAGAATGGTGGGCCTGTCTCTGACCATGCGTTCATTAGAGTCAACTGAGGAACTTTAAAAACAGCAGTGCTCAGGCCCTGCCCCTGGAGACACTGATTCAGTCAGCCTGGGGTGGGCCCAGCTTCAAGATGCCTTAAATACTCTCCAGGGGACTGTGCCTCTCTGCCTCATGTCTCTGAGCTGTCCCTAGCTCATCCCATGGCCCAGAACACTTCTCATCCCCAGCCACTCCCCCAGGCTCACCCTTCCTCCTGGACTCAGCCCACATACCCTTCCACTGGGAAGCCTGAACCTCCTCAATACCATCCCCCAGCACCTTGTAGCCCATGGCCATGTCTGTCCCACACATCAGGACAGAAGCCCCTTGGCAGAGATCCCCCTGTCCTGTTCTCTCTGTATTCCCAGCCCCTTACACAACCCCTGACATGTAGTTCAGGTGCCGCTGGCTGAAGGAATGAGAAAAGGGGTACCCTGGAAGTGTCTGTCCCTCTGTATGGTGACCCTGATGAGAGCAGGGCATCTATGGCCCCATCGACACTGGGAGACCCAGTTTGAGCAAGGGCAAGACCTGTCCTCAAGGATGGAAGGGTTCTCTCTCTCTGACAACCCTGTACTGGTTTCCTCCATGATTTATTTCATGAGCATCTCACCACAGGGGCTGGAGTTATTCAAGCGAAGCTTTCGGGTAATTGTGTCTCCTCCAGAGATCTGGGTGCCAAACCTGGAGGTGGGGAGACCCAACTCAGCACAGCCACAGCCAATGCACATCTCGCAAGCAGGGTTATTTCACAGAGGAGCGCTGGAGAGGGAGGCTTGGGCAGGGAGGCATTACCATGGAGGTCTGTCCTCGCCCCAGACTCACTGAGACCTGGGGCTGAGGGCCTTCCGTGCACAGCACCAGGTGGACTGTGATCCGGGGCAGCAGGCAGCAATCCATCCCCGCCCACCCTTAGCAGACCACAGTGATACCAGGTCAACTATGTGAAGGCCCCGAGTCTGGCACTGACCTCAGGCAACACTGACTACTTGCTACTTCTACCCCCCAGAAGCCCTCAGAGATGAGCAGATGGTGGCCCCATCCCCTGAAGTCTCTCTCCTCCAGGGCAGCCCTGTCGTGGGGACTTCTTGTAGATGGCACCAAGTGGCCCTGGGCCAGCTGGAGAGCAATAAGCCAGCATGGGCATCCCAGGCTGGAAGCCAGTGGGTTTCAGGGGGCCATCAGGGAGCAGAGAATAAGGCTGTGGGTGGGGCACCTGATGACAGGCTCTTTCTGGCACAGGTCCACGGTGTAGTAGGTGGTCCTCAGGGAGCTAATGGGGCAGCCCACCACAGCCATGTGCACCGGGATGACTGATGGTGGCAGGTCTCCCACCTGCAAACACACACCAGCCCTTGGTCAATCCTGCCACCAAGTGTCACTGCATTCCCTCTGGGAGAAGTCACCACTTGTCCAGCCAGCCAGGGTCCCCACAGGGTGGTCCCAGCTGAGCCCAGCCTCGCTCCCCACCATCTGGTGCCCATCCAGACACTTCCAGGCCAGGGCTGCCTCACCTCCCAGCCTCAGCTCCCTTTCCTATCCTGCCATCTCTGCTCTCCTGCCCAGCCCTGTGGCCTGCACACACATCTCAGCCTGGAGAGCTTTGGCCTCTCACGACCCCTTTGATCAAACTTCTGTATCTTTTAAGTGGAAAATACTTTATTATTTTTCTCTGCTAGTAAAAAGTAATAAATGCTTATTTTTTAAAAAAATTTGAGAGTATGAGAATCACCTATAATCCTACCGCTGCAGCATGACTCACTGTTACGACCCCTTTGATCAAACTTCTGTATCTTTTAAGTGGAAAATACTTTATTATTTTTCTCTGCTAGTAAAAAGTAATAAATGCTTATTTTTAAAAAAAATTTGAGAGTATGAGAATCACCTATAATCCTACCGCTGCAGCATGACTCACTGTTAACATCTTAGTGTATAACCATCTCCACTCCTTTTGTGTACATAAAACACAGATATAAATGGGGAGCATACTGGGTATACTTTTCTTTAATAATTTTCTCTTTTCTCTTAACAATATAAAATTTTACTAACAAGAAGTTTACAGCATCACATAACAGGCTGTACAGAATTCCACTGTAGGGATGTAGCCAGGAGTTTTTAGGCAGTATTCTACTGGTGGACATGGATCCTTAGGTTGTTTCCTTTTTATTTTTTCTCAATTATAAACAAACGCTGAGAAGAAAAGGAAACCTGTTACAAAGTCACTTATCTGCTTCTTTCCTTGGGAAACTTTAAATGTGTACCCAGCATGTTCCCAAAGTACCTCAAAGTACGCATTTCCCGCCCCCGCACCTGCCGTGCACCTCCACCAACAACTTTCAAACCTTGCTATTCTGAAAAAAACAGTATTTCGTGGTTGTTTTACTTTGCATTTCTTTAATTACTACGGATGGTGACATATTTTCATATGTTTATTGGCCATCAGTATTTGTCTTTCTTTGAGTTGCCTATTCAAACTCTTTGCCCACTTGGGATGTTTTTTCCCCCTTCCTGTTATTTAAGAACTCTTTGTATACTGACGTGATCAAACTCTGCCATACATAACACAAACAATTTAAAGCAAATATGTGTTATAGTTAACATATTCAATTTACTAAATAGTTCATGAAAATCTTCTGTGTAACAACCAAACAGTGTAGGACAAAGTGTGCACGTTTCATGCCTCCATACTAACTAGGAGCTCAGTACGCCGGCACCATCTGTTATCTTATTCACCCCTGTATCCTCCACAGTACAGAGGGCAACAGAGGAATCCACACACAGTGGCACTCAATTCATGCTGGATGAAGGAGTAAATAAATGGACCACTGGGTGAATGAATGGATGCACAGAGGGCTAGGCGAGGGCGTGGCTCCCAGAGGCCGTTACTGTCCCTCCACTCCTTCCTCCCTCCTCCAGGCTTGGGTTCTGGCCCAGGCAGGCAAGTACTGGTTCCTCTGCCCTGCACCTCATGGGAAAAGGTGTGGCTGCTCATGAGCACCCTCTTGTCTGAACGGTTTCAGCCTCAATCCCAGAGGTTGCAGTAGATGCGAATGCCCATCTCGAGATTGGTGGGCATTGCCTTTCAACTTGGTGAGCTTAGAGAGGCTGAGGGCCAGGTGTTGAAGGAGGGGGAAGCCCTCCTTTGTGCCCTTACCGTGCAGATGAGGCTGTCCCAGTACTCTCCCCACATGTTTGCACAGCCTGTGATGTCAATACTCAGCTGCTGGTAGGCCCCCAGCATGCCCTGGGAAATGTGGGGGAAGAAAGCAGCTCCTTTCCCATGAGACAACATACTTTCTACAAAATCTGAGGGAGAATCAGGAGTGGGGATTAAAGGCCCTGGGGTTGGGAGTGAGATCTGAACCCTCAGGTGTTAGCAAAGCACTTCCCCAAACAAGCCACCCCACAGCCCGTCCTTGGTTAGGCTTAACATGCTCTCCTCCTGGGAGCCCAGGATCCAGGGCCAGTGCTCAAGGCCCTACTTGGGCCAACTCTTACCTCCTGAGGGACCAGGCCCCAGTGGGAGTCCTCCCTTATGAGCCACCACCCATCCCTAATCAAATTCACGCCCTGCGCTAGAGCCTTATGCCCTAGCAGGGAAATGGCCTCATCCAAGAGAGGGGTGCTGTCAGGTGAAGAGCCATGGCTGTCTTGGGGACCTCACTGGGAAATACACAGAGAGGGGCTCTGTGGTCCTGGTCTCCCTCCGTGGCAGCTGCTGGCCCACATTCTCAGAAATTCATGCAAAACCCAGCTTAGGCCATGGCCTGGGGACCTCACTGGGAAATACACAGAGAGGGGCTCTGTGGTCCTGGTCTCCCTCTGTGGCAGCTGCTGGCCCACATTCTCAGAAATTCATGCAAAACCCAGCTTAGGCCATGGCCTGGGGCTGGCACCCTGACCCTGGTGGCTCTTACCCAGCTGCTCTCGTTTGGCCAAGTGTTCTCTGATCCGTGCCGTCTTTAGCAGAGCAGGAGGCAAGTCGGGACTTTATGAATTAAGACACAGAAACAGCATTAATCAAGGCAACCAAGCATTTCCCAAGACCTCAGCCACGTCCCGTGGCCACCAACATCCTACCAGGAGCCCAGCCAAGGAAGGTGGCCCTGCCTGCTCTTCCTAGCGGATAGCTGGTCAGGTATCTTCTTCACCCCCTTCTCTCATCTTTGCTCCCACTGTGCTTCTACCACCCAAGGCATCCCCAGCTGCAGGCCACCCACAGATGACAGGGATTACCTCCCAAAAAACCCACGAGGGCTCTAGGGCAGGGACCCTCTGCCCCCAGGCTCTGTGCCCTGGTTACTCCTGGATGCAAACCCAGCCCAGATGCCCCATCTCTTGCCCAGACTTCTGCAACAGGCCCGTTTCCAATCTTTCCTGCTGACATCTGCCCAGCATCAGTGCACACTCAGTGAATTTCAGAGTGGAAAATTAATGGCTTAGACACTATTCATGGCTCCCCGACCATCCATGGCAGTGGTTTTTAAGTCGGGCTCCCCTGCCTCAAGAGATTAGGCAGTGAGGTGTTACACCACACAGTGGTATGCTGGTAAACTGCCTCTCCAGGAAAAAAAAGTCCTAATTATAGTGTTTGCCAGTTTCTGTGGTGTAAATACTTTCTCCATGACCAATTTCAAGTTACAGCCTTGCAAAATGCCTGAATATTTAACAATGTGTGCTCCTGAGCCAGTACTAGCTGGTTCTGGCACACCACTGTACGTGTGTATGTGTGCCTATGCATGTGTGTGTGTGTCTGTGTGTGCATGTGCGTGTGTGCACACATGTATGCATGTGTATGTGCGTGTATGTGTGCATGCATATGTATGTGTGTGCATGTGTATGTAGGTGTGTGCATGCATGTGTGTGTGTGCATGTGTACATATACAGGTGTGTGCATGCATATGTATGTGTGTGCATGTGTATGTAGGTGTGTGCATGCATATGTATGTGTGTGCATGTGTGTGTAGGTGTGTGCGTGCATGTGTATGTGTGTGCATGTGTACATATACAGGTGTGTGCACGTGCATGTATGCATGTGTGTGTACGCATGTGTGCATGCATGTGTGTCCCTGTGTGTGCATGTGCATGTGTGTATGTGAGTATGTGTATGCAGGTGCATGTGTGTGTGTATATGTACATATGAGTAAGTGGTGCTCTAGGTCTTGACTCTGCTCTTGACCATAGTAGCTTTGCTGATCTGTCTTATCTACTGGGCATCCCTTCCCCATCTCACCTCTCCACATGTCAGCCCAGGCACACTATTCAATGCTCCCCGAATACTCCCTTTTCCTGAATTCTCACTCTCACACCTTTGCCTGCACAGTTCCCTCTGTCTAAGGGAACTTCTCCCTCATTATAGGCCCATCCTGCTCTCCACTTCAGCAGGCCATGCTCAGAAGAAAGTGCTGCAGTCCCAGCCTCTTCCATGGGCCCTCTTGGGGTCTGAATTGGACAGCAAGAGCCATTTTCTCTCTGCATTTTCCCATGTCTACCTGTGAGAACACACACTCCCACCTCTCACACCCACCAGCCTCTGGCCTCATAAGCCACACAGAAGCCCAAGGGGTAAACCCCTCCTGGCCACATCTGCCCTGGGAACTGCTTCTGGAAGAAATGAGACTTACAGGCTGGTCTTTTTGCTCAGGCTGTTGTGGGGGCTCCCAAAGTACTCAAACTTGAGGGTGAAAGTGGTCTGTATTGGGGAGCAATTGGTCAGGATGAGCTGGCGATTCACACAGGTCCTCAGGGGCACTGTTGAGCCAAAGTCCAGGCAGAGCTCCTTCTCATGGCCTGGTGACTGCTTTCTGTTGAAAACACTGAGTGTGGGCACTATGTAACACACCACCCTTGGCCCTGCTCAGACAATCTCCATGTGTGGGGGTTCGGGAGCTGCCCAGGAACCAGGCTGCATCCTCGGAGTGCCTCCTCATTGAGCTACCAACCCACAGACCAAACTTTCCTGCCCATCCTTGACACCGAGAGAGGACTCTAACTGTACAAACTGTCCCTGCCGGGGACTGACTGGCATGCCTCCCAGTTACTGGGCCTTGTGTGGGAAAACCCAGGGTCCCCTGCCATCTCCTACCTGTCTGGACACCTGGCCTCCAAGTGTATGGGGAAAGACCACACAGAAGGTAGGGATGGGCTAAAGGGATCTGTTCCCATGGAAGTGGTCTTTTCCCAGTTGCAGCAATCGGGTAGGCGTAGACTGGTACCATAATGCAATGCTGGTCCTTTGTGTGGTGGCCTCAGCCACCAGGCCCCCATCTCCGCTCTGGGCTTACCTACTATCAGAGCCTTCCACAGAGATGGCGATAGCCACTTGCAGTCCCTGGGGCTTCCCAGAAATGCCTAGGACCAGCGGCTTCTCCATGCCTGACACGTGACAAGGGAGGGTCAGGCTGGTCAGCTCTTCCTACAAGAAAGCCCATCCAGGGGTCAGACCCAAGGCTGAGGCCTCAGAAGATGGACCCAGATTGTCTTCCACAGCCCAGGTGTTTGCTGTGGATGGCTCAACATGAAGGCCATGGCCTCTGTCCAGGCTCATCTCTGTGGAAGGGTTGTCTGGTTCCTCCAGTGAGCCTGGCCTGTCAGCCGACAATCTGCCCCCAGGAGGCCTGGCCCTTCCTCAGGGTTCATGGCTGTATTAGTCTGCCCCAAATATCTGGGCATGCCCATGTGAAGGGAGACCTCTCAAAGTGGACCTCTCCCCCAGGAGGCCTGGCCCTTCCTCAGGGTTCATGGCTGTCTTAGTCTGCCCCAAATATCTGGGCATGCCCATGTGAAGGGAGACCTCTCAAAGTGGACCTCTGGAGAAGCTGCACATTTACTCTGATGAAGCTGCTACTATAGAAGTAAAACTCTTCCTGAGCAAGGTCTGCTCCATAGCAGGCCTGGGCCCATCTGTCTATCAGCCTAGCTGTATAAGAAAGTCCACTGTCCCCCTGTTTGCCAGCAAAGAACTGGGACCTGAGTCTTCAAGTCTCTGCAAGGAAGAAGTTTCTCTTCCCATAAGAACCACAAAGAGATAGCCATTTTGTGGCTAAGTTCTGAGCACATTCCATCCTGATGGCCTTCCTTTGGGCCTCTCCTGGGAGAAACCTAGCCACCAGTTGGCTTCCCCCAGTAACATCCAGCAGCACAGAGCCTGCTGTGAGCAGCAGTTCTGCTCTGGATCTCTGGGCCAGTGGGAAGTTGGGCCCACCTGTGGCTGCAGAGAATGGCCTGAGGAGGGCTAAAGCTGGTGCCAAAGGCTGGGCATGGCCAGTGGGTCTCATGGCACATCCAGACCTGCTCTAGGCTCCCCAACCTTGTGTCCGTGGAGGGCAGGCCCAGCAGGAATGAGGACCTCTGACTCAAATGCAAGAAATNCTTTGGGCCTCTCCTGGGAGAAACCTAGCCACCAGTTGGCTTCCCCCAGTAACATCCAGCACAGAGCCTGCTGTGAGCAGCAGTTCTGCTCTGGATCTCTGGGCCAGTGGGAAGTTGGGCCCACCTATGGCCGCAGAGAATGGCCTGAGGAGGGCTAAAGCTGGTGCCAAAGGCTGGGCATGGCCAGTGGGTCTGCACAGAGCCTGCTGTGAGCAGCAGTTCTGCTCTGGATCTCTGGGCCAGTGGGAAGTTGGGCCCACCTGTGGCTGCAGAGAATGGCCTGAGGAGGGCTAAAGCTGGTGCCAAAGGCTGGGCATGGCCAGTGGGTCTCATGGCACATCCAGACCTGCTCTAGGCTCCCCAACCTTGTGTCCGTGGAGGGCAGGCCCAGCAGGAATGAGGACCTCTGACTCAAATGCAAGAAATCTCTTCACCACCCACGAGGACCCGGAGTGGTCCTGAGGTAGGACCTCCCTGGTGGTACAGGTGCAAACAGTTGGCAGGTGCCTTCGCAGTCACTCAGGCCCCCACATGACTTACTCACCTGGCTGTGAGCAATCAACTCCAAGTTCAGCTGGCGCTCCTCACTGGGGCCCAGCAGGCCATGCCTGGGGGAGATTGTCACTGTGCAGAAGTGTGCCTGGTGCCCCAGAAGCTGGCAGACACACGGATGGGCCTGTTGTCACGTGCTGGGCTCCCAGAATGGACCACGGTCCACACAGTACTCAGCACTGGCACATTCTCTGCTGGAGGCTGGCAGACTGGGGCCCATAACGGGACTGACAAGGCTGGTGCTCACTTCTGGGGATAAACCACAGGTCCCCTCTCCTCTCTTCCCAACCCCGGATGGACTTCACTTCCTTTTAGGGGCTTGTCTGGACTAAACAGGCTGCTCTGGGAGACTCAAAGCGATGGGGAGCAGAGGGCAGCTGCCTCTGACCCACACGGATGTGGCCTCCACTCCTGTGGCACTCAGAGCAAGCTCCACAGTCAGCCACAGGGGCAGTGCCACAGCTGGGCTCCTGTCATGGGCTATGCTGGCTGGGAGGCTCTGGCTGTGTTCACCAGAAACTCCTTTTCAGGCAGAGAACTGGAATTCCCTAAAGGTAAGGTGAGGAAAAGGTGGAGCAGATGTACTGCCCCTTCAAGGAGCTTTATTGGGCACTGTGGAGTGAAGGACAGTCTTTGGGAGGGAAACTGAGCTCCTTTTCTGGGGGAGGGACTTGCAGGTGCAACATACCCCTCCACATGTGCCTCTGTTGCTGAGGGCTACAGACCTGCTGCCTGATGGCATGGGCTCACCTTGTCCCAGTGGAACCGGGTGGGCAGGAGAGTGCCATTGATGAGTGTGACGGTTGCTTTTGCGGGCACACTGAGGTAGAGGTTGCTGACCTCCACCTGGCTGCTCTGCAGGTACACGTGGGGCTTCTGGACCTCAGCATACACAGGAAGGTAGCTGGAACGCAAGGAAATAAAATATGTACTGCTCAGAAAAGAAGAAATAAAACTGTCCCTATTTACAGATGGCATGATGGTCTATGTAGAAAATCCCAAGAAATCTATATTTAAAAAAACTCCTAGAACTAACGAGTGACTTCAGCAAAGTTACAGGGTACAATATCAACACACAAAAATCAATCACATTTGTATGCACTAACAATGATCATGTGGAAATAGAAATAGAAACTATAACACCACTTATAATTGCTCAAGAAAACTGAAATACTTAGTTATAAGAAAAATTGCTGTGGCAAACACTCTGAGCTTATTTCCAAGTGGTTACTTTTCCTCCGGGTACATTTCAGAATAGTCACTTCCCTTCCTCTCCAACCCCACCTCTGGCTGAACAAGAGAGAATTTTTTCCAGTCTCCACCATGAGAACCTAGTGAGTCCCCAAGAGTTTTTAACTCTCAAGTTAGCCTACGTTCAGTCTCCAGGAATTTGCTGAAGCTACCATTTAATTGCTCCTACTGTTAGTGGCTCCAGTAATTTCCACTTCAGGTAAATTGATCTGTATTCTCTGTATTTACTTGTCTCTGCAGTTTTTGGGGTGGCTCTTTGTCCCATCACTTCAGTTTTATGAGGGATCTAACAAAAGCCATTGTTTGTTTTTTAGATTGTTCAGCTTTTTCTTGTTGTGAGGGCAGGAGCTTGACGTGCAAGCTCTTTACATGTCTGGGTGGCTGAAGGTATTTTGTAGGTATGATTAATATTCATAATATGTTGAGTTTAAGTAAAGGAGATCATCTGACATTTGGATGGGTCTGATTCAATCAGTCGGAAGGCCTTAAAAGCAGAAATGAGGTTACCCAGAAAAATAAATTCATGTGTGCATGGCCCAGGGTTCCAGCCTGCCCTGCCTGGAGACCTACCCCACGGATTTCAGGCTTGCCTAGCCAGCCCCTACAATTGTGTAAACCAATGCCTTGCAATGAATTTCTTAATAAATATATTCTCACTATATTTCTTTAGTGGAACCCTAACTGATACAATCGTATCAAGGTAAACACATAGGTAAATATAAAAGACAGAATAAATGTATTTTTGCTTGTAACTCTCTCCTTCTACCTGATTTAAAAGACAACTGAATAAACCAATAACTGTAAAATTGTGTTGATGGGCCTATAATGTATAAAGATGTAATTTGTATGACAATACTAGCACAAAGAGAGAGGAAGGAACAAAACTATATTAAAACATTGCATTGAAATTAAGTTGATATTAATCCTAACTAGACTGTTTTAAAATTAAGATAATAACTGTAATGTCCTGGGCAACCACTAAGAAAATAACTTTTTAAAAAAGTAAAATAAACATGGGAATTAAAATATTAAAATAGATATTATAAAATATCTATGTAACATATAAGAAGGCAATAATTGAGGAATACAGGAACAAAAAGATAAAAGACATAGAAAACAAATAGCAAAATGGGAGATGTAAATCCTACTTTATCAGCAATTACATTAAATATAAATGGATTAACAATCAAATCAAAAGGTAGAGATTGGCAAAATGGATTTTTAAAAAATGATTCCACTACATGCTGTCAATAGGAAATATTTTAGATTCAAAGACACAAATAGGTTGAAAGAAAAAGGATAGAAAAATATATACCATGCAAACAGTACCCAAGAGAGAGCTATAGTAACTATATTAATGTAAGATGAAATAGACGTTAAGACAAAAATTGTAATCAGACAAAAGAAGGATATTTTATAATTATAAAAGGTCAATTAATCAGAAAGACATAACAATTATAAACACATATGAATCTAACAACAGAGCCCCAGAATTCATGAAGTAAAAACAGACAGAATTGAAAGGAGAAACTGACAAATCAGCAATAATGGTGAAGACTTCAATACCCCACATTTAATAATAGACAGAACAACTAAGTAGAAGATTAACATTAACATAGAAGACTTAAACAACATTATAAACCAACCAGACCTAACAGACACATATACAACACTCTAACCAACAACAACAGAATACATATTTCTATTAAGTGTACATAGAACATTCTCCAAAATAAACCACAAGACAGTCCATTAACGCAAGCTTCAATAAGTTTAAAAGGACTGTAATTATACAAATCATGTTCACCAATAACAACAGAATCAAATTAGAAATAAACAACAGAAAGAATTTTGGGAAACAAAATTATGTGTAAATTAAACAACACACTAGTAAATAAAAAATGGGTTAAGTAAGAAAACACAAGAAAAACCAGAAAATACTTTTATATCAATGAAAATAAAAACACAGAAGAAAAAAAGGAAAATGAAAACACAACATATCAAAGCTTATAGGATGCAGCAATAGTAGTGCTTAGAGGGAAATTTGTATTTGTAAGTACCAATTTTTTTAAAAACAAGAAAGATTGCAAATCAAAAACCTAAGCTTCCATCTTAAGAAACTACAAAAAGAGCAAACTAAGCCCAAAGAAAGTAGAAGGACAGAAATAATAAAGAGCAGAAATAAGTAAAATTAAAAAAATAGAAAAACAATACAGAAAATCAACAAAACCAAAAGTTGGTTCTTTGAAAACGAAACTACAAAAAGAGCAAACTAAGCCCAAAGAAAGTAGAAGGACAGAAATAATAAAGAGCAGAAATAAGTAAAATTTAAAAAAATAGAAAAACAATACAGAAAATCAACAAAACCAAAAGTTGGTTCTTTGAAAAC